AGAAGCTTCGGAATTGTTCCAAATCCGGAGGTCCTTTTTTTCTCCACCGTTTGTCTAGCCATGCACAAGTGTTGCAAGGTTTATCCTTTTGAGAAATTCTTCTGTGATATTTTTTTTTTTTTTTTTTTTTTTTTTTTTTTAAATTCCCCACATTTTCACACGCGTGAAGACTGGGTTTTGTTGTAAACATCCTTTGCGCATTTAATTAAACGGAACACCCTCACTGTAAGCACACCCTTTGGCAAACAGCATGTACATAATTATCATGACGGGTGTATGTGTGTGTGTGTAGGCTCGTTGGAAAATCTTCCCACGTGGCTAGCTACCTAGCCATATGTACGCTCAACAACTTTTGGAAAAAAAAAAAAAAAAAAAAAAAAAACACCACAGTTGGAAAATACACAAATGGACATTTTTCCAACGAGGTGATCTCGAAACGAGTTCACTTTATTTTATTTTTTTCGCATTACACGTAAGGTTGTGACAACATGAGGAGGGGAGATCCTCTGAGGAGTTCACTCAATTTCGGTGAGCGAGGGGGCTCTGTAGCAGGTACCCTGTTCGTGGAACACGTTCCCCGATGGATCACGTGGGGTGTGGCATTGGGAGGAGCATCCCCCCTCCTGCCCTGCGTATACCCTGTCGCTGTTGACGTGGTGCGATCCGAAGTGGGGAAGCGCAGTGGGGGGGGCGTCACCGCGGACCACATCACCGCTGACCACATCACCGCTCATCACGTCACCGCTCATCACGTCACCGCTGATCGCATCACCACTCATCGCGTCCCCCCCCGCTGCGTAGCTGTAGCTGAGTATGTGCTTGAGGCGGTTGGAGTGTGCCCAGGGGAAGCGAGTCCTCCTGACGCCCTTGACATGATCGAGACGCGTCTCCCCGTGGGGACGCATGAGCAGAAAGGAGTCCCGATAGGTGTGGAAATTTTTTTTGTTAAAAAGAGAATTTGTGTCCGCGCAATCAAGTGGAGTCAGCGTCCTGTCTAGGTTGTCTCTCGCTTGCTTGGGTAAATTTAATCGTTCCTTTTCAAATGGTCCATCAGGATTGGCATAAGGAGGGTTCCTATTTTTAACAATTGGAAGTTTGTCACTCCTATCAGCGTCCTCATTTACAGTAAGAAAAACATTGTTGACCAAATTGGATTTATTTTGAAGAGAAGATTTATCAAATATTTTTTTCCATGTGTTATAAGTTTTCCCGAGGTCATATTCTTCAATGCTAATATTAACAGTAGCACTTCCACTTTTTCTCCCCACACATATACTCATTTTTCCTTGCAGATCTGGAATTAATTTTGTTTCAAAGTACTTGTTTTGGTTTTCATAGGTGGAATACGAAGTGAGTGGTCTCTTTGCTGGGTGTATCTCAAGTGTCTTGTCGTTTCCATGAGACAGGATGTCTTTCATTTGTGAGCTATCACTCTTGGTCATGGAAATTTGTTTTCTTGAGTTTATATTTAGCTCCGTTATTCTGTTACACACAACTCCTGCGTTTTTCATTTTGTTCATGTAGATGCCGCAATTCTGAGCCACGAACCTTTTCCCCTGTTTGGCTTCCTCCCCCGCGCTGCTGCCCTGGGAGGGAATGCACTTGGGCTCGCCCTCCATTTTTGGCACGTCGGCGAGGGGAGGGGGCGAAAACAAACGGCGAACAAATGAGCGGTGAAGAAGAGGCGGTATAGAGAAGCGGTAAGCTAGACACGCAACAAAAAAAAAAAAAAAAAAAAAAAAAAAAAAAGAGAGGCAAAGCTGGTGCGTACACAGTCAATGTACAAGCACAGTTACACGCAGAGTTAACACGTGTGAGTAATTAGCAAAACACTACACAGTGGCTCTTCGAATGCTTGAGCGCCTCTCCGCGAATTAGAAGCGGATCTATATATGTATCCTCGAACGACGTGCGCTGGGCGAACTACTAGGAAAGCTGCTGCCCCACAGGGGGTACCACGCATAGTTGTGTTGTGTTCATTTTGCAGTCGCGAGATTTTTCTTTCACCTGATCATTTCGTCACGTCACCCCCCCCGCCCGCGCAAGATGAAGTTTAGCAAAAAGTTGCAGGAGCGGGCGCACCCCAAGTACAGGGAGCACTACATCGCCTACAAGGAACTGAAGAAGGCCATCCGGTTGATAACAGGTGAGTTGTGGGAGTTGAACTCGCGATGGGTTCACCTAACCGTTGCGTGTGTTTGCCGTTTATATATAGTGTACTGGTTCCATGAGGGGGGAGACCCTTGCCCCCCCACACATATACGTGTGCTCCACGTGTGCTGCACGTCTGCTCCACACCATTGCCGCGCGACGGCGTTTACCCCTTCCCCTCCACGCAGGGAAAGACACCTCGACGTTCACGATAAAGGAAGTAACGACAAACTTCGGCGGGACGCGGGCGTTGAGCGGAACCGAGTACCAATCAGCCGAGTCAAGGTTCCAGAGTATCCTGAACAGCGAACTGAACAAAATTAATAACTTCACAAAACAAATGATAAAGGAGTGGTACGATGATGCACACATGTGTTTACAAAAATTAAAAAAAAAAAAAAAAAAAAAAAACTCTTTAGTAGACTTGTCTCAAGTTATGAACAAGCTAAACGAATTGGGAAAATTTTTAAAGTTTCTAGAAAGTTACAGAATATTAAATTTTACAGGGTTCAGAAAAATTACAAAAAAATTCGATAAGCATAATGATAAGGTTGTTAGTTCATCCTTCTACATCACCGTCGTTATAAAAAGTTTTTTCATGAGCTGTGATATGAACCTGCTTGTGTGTATTTTGTCCCTTTGCTACAAACACTATCGCGCGTGTAGAAATTTGGGTTGTGGGCAGGACGACACGGGAGACAACGTCGAGGGAGAATCAACTCACCATGGGTTACCTACCACCACAACGCAGGCTCTCTCGCCGAGACCTCCAGAGGAGCATCCCCACAGCGACGTGCACGGGGCAGCGACAAGTACGTCGAACTTGGAGGAGAAAAAAAAAAAAAACGAAAACGTATTTTCGCACGGTGGCAATGCGACGCCCGCTGCACCCAACGAGAGTGTACACCCCGCAGTACATACAGAGAAGAAACAGAACCCACGACAGGTCATTAAGAACACCAAATATATTGTAAAGGCACAAGACCTAATCACTGTTAAAGTAGAAATCTGTAAGTACTATACATTTCATTACTACGACTTGAAGGAAAATGAATTAATGCCCCCATTTGAAAGCTTCATAAAATTAATTTCCACCTCGAAGATAAGAAACGACCTGACCACCATCTACTTTGATGATGCTTCTTTTACCCAATATCACAAATATGTGAACCGGAGTTGTGAGCAGGGGGACAGTACTAGCCATTGTGTTCGGTTGCGTTATTATTGCTACATAGATGCAGAAAAAGAATCCACAAAAACGGTGATTCAAAATTTTAATTTATTTGAACCCAGCTGTGACGTTAATGAAAAATACGTCTTTGCCAAGGATGTCCCACAGGAGAATCTCACAATAGGTTGTGTTAATGATTTGTATAATCTGAAGAAAGGAGATGCTTCAGGTAACTCCCACTCTTCATTTCAGGGTGCAGACTCGACACAACTTCAACACTACGAAAAGTGCATCAGTGAGATTGAAAAGAATCACCTAACTAGCTGTCTGAAAAGCAAACTGAACAGAATCCACTTTGGTGATGAAAACGTTAGTGGATACATCGACGAGAATATCTGCTACTGGGTACACACAAATAAGGGAGCCATTCACAAGTGTGAAGAGGTCGACTCGTTGGAAGCAGATCATAGTGAGTTGGACGAACCCAACAGAGTAAAGCAGCATAACGATATTGTAAGTGAAAGTGGTAACCGAGAAGAAGAACCAACCACAAAGGAAAAGAGAAAATACGCATATTTCGATTATGCAGTTGTTGACGTTACCCTGAAGGAACTGTCCTCCAGGGACTTCTCCTTCCAACTGAATCACTTAGGAGTAGTTAAAGAAATTTGGGGGTACTCTTCTTACCTGCAAGGAATTTCTATGCTCTACTCACACCGCATTTCCACCGCCCCTCACTGGCGCATCTACACACACCCCGAGTGGGACAAATTAAACAAAGGTGAAACTTCCATCAGGGGAATGAACAAGAAGAAGCAGAGGAATAAGAAGAAGGAGAAGAAGACGAAGAAGGAGGACGAAGGAGTAGAGTTAGGAAAAAACACAAGTGAAGAAAAGGAAAGAGAAAATAAAAAGTCCAGCAGTGGTAGCAGAAGCTCCAGAAGTGAAACCCTAAACCAAGACAAAGAAAGTAACCAATCAATTTTGTCCGGCGAGGAAGAGGAGGAGGACGACGAGGAGGAAGAGGAAGAGGATAAGAACACGGAGCTCAGCTCAAGTGAAAACACAATCGAGTACACAGAAGGAAGGGTAGAGAACAATCGTAATGGAAAAAATGAAGAATGGAAAAAGGGAATCACGTACACTGGTGCATCTGCAAGAATTGCTCACGAGAGTGAAGTCATTTTTAGAAACGAGGTCGAAAGGAATAAACCCATATCATCTGCTCATCACTTCCATGTAAACATTGACAATGTAGATAATGCAGACTACTGCACCAATCGGGGCAGTTACATTGGACCACCATACAGTGGAGACAGTAGTAACAACCTCAGGAAAAAGTCTAACCAAAAGGATAAACAATGCACCATCAGACACCCTCTTGCAGAAGACAATAACTTGTACGAACCTCTTCTAGACCCTATGGAAGAGACTACTTCTTCTAAGGGTAACATATCCTCGTCCTGTGGAATCACCTCCTTTTTTAAGAAAATATTTTTTTGTAAAAACAAAACTGTTGATATAAAAAAACCCAAAACTGCTGTCGTCAGAGTCGAACCCAAGACATTTTTTGCAAATGAAAGAACCCTACTTCAATGGCTGAACACCAGTGTCCTCCTCTCGACAATATCTATTACCCTTTTGAATTTTTCCAACTCTTATGGATTCGCCTCTGGAGTTATTATGGCGCCCGTGGCCATTTTCTTCATCCTCTACTCCTTCCACATTTATCTGAAGAGGGCAGAGGCGCTCACCAACAAGGAACCCATCAACTACACGGACAAGGTGGGCCCCGGGGTCCTCGTCATCACCCTCACCTTCGCCCTGTCCACCGTCGTCATCCTCAATATGTACAGCCGCTTGAAGGGCGAGGTGTGAGCCGCAGTAGAACTAGTAAAGGCTTCCCCTCACAACATTGAACTAGTGGACCACATTAAAGTCGTTACTGCTATGTTAGGCATGTACTAGAGGAGGATACGCGGTGGGGAGATGTACCCCAGCGCAGCGGAAAACGGGGCCACAAAATCGCAGTGGTTAACCCGACCAAACCCACGCAGAGATGCGTGTATTAAGTACACAAACAAAATAGCGCCCAAGTTTAGGCAAAAATTTTTTTTTTTTTTCTTTTCTCGCTGTCCACGGTGGGACAAAGCCAATAATTTTCAGGTGCGATGTTGTCACTTCGGTGGACTTGCGTAAACAGAGCACGCGCTTTGCATTTTTTATCATCCGTGGGCGTCCCGTCCTTCGGCACTATGCCCTGAGAGGTGTAACAGAAAAAAAAAAGAGGAGGGAAAAAAAAAAATGTATCATTTGGGGTGGGGTGGTGGTCAAACGAATGCCACGACGGATATATGCGTGCCCCCCCCCCCCCACATACACATTTTATGCAATAGGGGGGGGTAAACCACTAGTTGGGGGAGTTACACTTCTGCGAGAGAGATGCCACTCACCATCTTTGTATGAACAAAAGAGTCCCGGCCCTTCTTCCTCTCGTCTTGTCGTTTGTACGTAGCATACGCATCAAACTCAGAGAAATTCTGAACAATGATATTGGAGCACCCAGGTTTTCTCTCCACCATAATTTCTGTTCGTCCACTGGACTTGTCTGTCACAGCATATTTGGTGGAAAAATATTTGTCAATTTCACTATCATCCACATGTCTGGCGAGGCACCTCTTTGGAGTTAACACATAACCTTTATCTGATAGGAAGTGCTTGGGTTTGCTAACCTCTTCTTCGCCTGCATTGTGCTGTATGGTGTCTTTTACGCTCTCCCCTCCGTGCATGTTGAGGTCACTTTTGATTCTTCGGTTGCGCACATTAATGCTGTTCTTTATTTCCGATCGCAGACCCGCGTAGTTGTAATCGCAGTTGTGCCTGTCGCGGTGGTTGACACTCTTCGGGGCATACCTATTGCCAAACGGGTCGACCCCAATCGTGTCTTCTTCATTTTTTGACTCCTCCGTGCAGCAATTATGTAAGACTTCGTAAATGTTGTTCCCGTAGGAGAAGTTCGATCCGTTGTACACGGACTTTCGGCGAATGTCAAGGTTCCGGAGACAGGCCAGGCGTTCAGAGCTCAACCCAGCGTAGGTAGAGAACTCCATTTGGATTACAGGATGCACGGGGGGGGGTATATGTGTAGATTCGTGGGCACACGTCGAATGGCAAACGTTTGGCTGAGAAGTGAAATGCGCAGATTGGTAACAGAACGGAAAGGGTAAAAAAAAAAAAAAAAGACGGACGGACTGAAAAATAATTTCACGAACATGTGGCTAAATTGTGCAGCGTCATTTGGGCTGCTTACACAGGGTTAAAAAAAAAAAAAAAAGAAGAAGAGAGACATACACACAACGCACATGCGAACACTTGCAAACCAGAACAATGTAACACTTAACTGCTATCGAAAAACGTAACAAAAATTGAGAAAACAAAACAAAAGAAAAATGCTCAATGCATGTTGTGTGTACCCCCCTTTCACAAAAACATATAATTGAGTTTCCCAAAACAGGTAAAAACTTCCGTAAGGAGTTAAACAAAAGGACAAATCAAACAGGTTTGTGGCGAGAAGGAAAAAAGACATAAAGACCATCTAGCCTGCGTTGGACTTGTTCACTTTTTCCAGCGGTTAAAAGGGTGGCTAGCGAAAGAGGTCAGCAATGATGTTGTTTTTTTTTTTTTTTTTTTTTTTTTCCTCTTTTTTTTGGCTATTTTTTCTTCTTTTTTTTTGGCTATTTTTTTTTTCTTTTTCTGCACATTTTTTTCCCTTCCTCCTGTGTTCTTGCCACTTGGCATTTCTACTTCCGCGAGGAGTATATTTATGTGTGAGCAACTCATTAACGCGTTTACACGTTATTAAGCGCGTATAAGCATTTGTAGCTCCCCATGTGGGCGGGCACGCTTTCTTCCCCGTCCGTTGCAAACTGGTGCAACTTATTTTCACCTTAACGGGCAAGGTAAAATGTGTGCATATTTCTGAACGTTCAGAAATATTTACGCGCAAATGGAGCAGTGGTGATGGTAGAGATAGGGGGAAGGGGAGGGAACTTCTTGCTTATTTGGGAGGAGGACATACATCCTATGCCTCTAATTTGTCTTTTGTTTCTTCCTTTCGAAGCGTTTCAGTCAACTGCAATCGCATTTGCTCGCTTCTAACGTCGCACAAAAAAAGACACCCACTTGTTGCCACATTTTTGTGGAAACAATTTTTTAAAAGGGACAAAAGTTTACTATTCCGCGTAAAAAAAAAAAAAAAAATTAAAACTTCTTATAAATGGGACATTACTTGAGTGTGTGTACACCCACGCGTTGACAACACATCAAAGCGTTTCGCATATAAAATTATTGTTCGTGTGACAACACATGTCCGCAGCTATGTTCATTGCTTTGTAGGCGATGTCCTTGGCGCTCAGATTCTCCACGTCGTAGAGTGCCCTGGCTGCTGCTATGGCATATGGGCCCCCTGATCCTGTGCCCAGGACATTTCCAGAAGGTTCCAAAACGTCTCCGTTACCAGTTACCTCCAACAGCACGTCTTTGTCCGCCACTATTAGGACTGCCTCCAGGTGTCGCAGGTACCTGTCAGTTCTCCACAACTTGGCTAGTTCGACGCAGCTGCGGAGAAGTTGATCTGCGCGTAGTGAAGGGAAAAAAAAAAAAAAAAAGGGGGGGAACAAGAGATGAAATATGAGTTCAGTGCATGTGTGTAAACGTGCCTCGATAATACGCTTCAACACTGCAGACGCGCGATGATCAGCCTTAACGCGGAGGACTCACTTGGGTATTCATCGATTTTCGTTTCGAATTTGTCCAGCAGGGTGAAGCAGTCGGCCGTGGCCCCGGCGAACCCCATTAAAATATTGTCCTTGAGCCTTCTTATTTTTTTTGCGTTCCCTTTAACGATCTGGAGCAGAAATGGAAGTCCACAATGGTTAAAGTGTAAAAAAAGGAAGTGAAAAGAAAAAGGCACAATAATGTAATATGCATGCCAGTGAGTCTCTATTGATACGCGCGAACATGTTGAGCACGAAAACGACCAGTGTAGAACTCACAAAATGAGCGTCACCCCCATTTCGCAGTTAACACACAGAGCTGGGGGTAAAATGTAGAGCCTTACCATTGTTCCTTGAGAGACCATGCCATCTCCAATTAGACACTGAACAGGGGGGGAGGGAAAGGTTAACGTGTCTGTGTGTTGTATAACGACTTTTTTTTTTTTTTCTCTCCTTTGTATATCTTGCGGGAAAGTAACGGAAAGGGGTGCCCTCATTTTTTTTTTTTTTTTTGTGGCAATGCAAAGGGTTATTTTTTTACACTGCTGGACTACATGTCTGCCCCCGTCGCAACTTTGCCTTTTCTTCCCCTTCCGGGCTTACCACTTCGTTGTTCTTGCGCACGCACAGTATGGTTGTTCCATGTCGCGGCGGGAGGAGCCTTCCCGTGTGGGCGAAGTAGTTTCTCTGCAAGGGGCGGGGGGAGCCAAGATGTATGGAGGGGAAGATGGGGTGATACCCCCCCACGTGACAATGCCAACGCGATTATCCTAGATGCAAACACCCGCAGAGATGTGTTGTGCATTCCTACCTGTGCCGTTCGGCCAATGGCCGAGGGAACCCTAATCAAGCCTGAGAGGCGCCTTACAAACATTTTTTTTTTTTTTTCGCCTGGCTTTGCGCAAATCGACAAAGAGGGGGGAGGAAAAGCTGTGGGGTGGCGTTGAAATGGGACTCGGGGAGGGGAACGTGGTGGTAGGCTCCTCAAGTATCTCCCTTAAAGAAAGAAAAAAAAAAAATTAACAAAACTCGAATAGGAGCGGCAAATGATTTTTTTTTTTTTACATCTCTACATGTGCGAGTAGGAAAGGAGATACACAAAAGGTGTTTTGTTTGCATGTGCAAGATGGAGAAAAGCAAATCTGCCCCTTTGCACAGGTGGAATTGACGAAGCTAATTATGAACAATCATACACATAAAAAAAAAAAAAAAAAAAAAAAAAAGTGGAGCAGTTAAGGAAGCTAGCTGGGTGGCATAACGGGATGGCGGAGTGGAGGTGCAACGGCGTACGCCGAGCACACCGTGCGCTTTCGTGAAGTGCGTTCGCAAAAAGGAAACATAAATAAAAAATAACAAAAAAATAATGTAAAAAATGAAGTAAAAAAAAAAGAGAGCCCCACGAGGGGTATCCTCATATGCAGCCGCCACATGTCGTCCATGTCGGCTGATCTGCTCGCTCAGTGATGTACAAAGAGGGCAGGTTCACAACTGTTCGATTTTTCTTCATAGGAGGGGGGTGGTGGAAACCATGTTGGGCATCCGCTCAGTGAAGTTCCTGCTCATTCTTTTCTCTGCGTGACGTGTGGTAGGGGTTTGGCCGTGGCTTTGTATATCCCCCCCTTTTGTGCATTCACCTCAGAATGAGGAGGCCCTTCCCGTCCATTCCCAGTTGGAGTGGCCCATTTAGGGATACTTCTTTTTCTGTTATGCTTTCCTGCCCCAGGGGTGTGTGTGTGTGTCGTGTGTATGGGGGGGTCCAACCAAATATGTGCACTAGGTAAAATTGTACCTTCTCTTCTCTGGCCATTCTGAAAATTGATCATTTTGAGAATTCCCCCCTTCGTGGTTTTATCCCCCCCTGGAAAGGTGAAAAAAAGGGTTCAATCTTCCAGGCCAGCAAACATGGTTCCCATTTGAAGAAGCAAATTTTCATCTCGGTCTGCGAGCAAGTCATTGTAACTGCTACCCTCACACACCTCAGGAGGGAGATTGTCAAAATAATCGACGTTGTGAACCCTAACATCATTTTCACATTCTAAGAGGAGATTAGGCAACTCCATAAAGTAAGAGGAAGCATGAGTGGACTGGTTACAAACAAAAGGAATAAAAAAGTCAATTATGTTTTCTCCATATTTGAGTGTCATAATAGCGTAGCAGTTGAAAAGGTCCCATATTTTTATTCCATCCCTTGCTAGGGATACCATATTTTCCCTTTTGTCATTTACGTGGCATTTGATTACTTGGCTTTTGTGTCCAATGAAGGTCGTGCAGTTTTGGAAGTTCAATTGTAAATCACCTTTTCCGGAAGTGCTTCTCTGCAGGTGAGGTGCATTGTGGTCCCCATTTTTCACCTCAATGTAGTCTCCATATGAGGATAGTTTTTCCTGCGCAAGTCGTTCTTCATGGTAAACATCCTTCCTCACTTGAACAGAAGAATATGCTGTTGTTTCCCTTTGGTCAAACTGGGAGAAGGGGATGCGAAATATTTTATTCCCTCTGCAAAGATATAAATGCGTGTTGAAGGGGTCATTCGTGCACATGTATGTACAGTTCTCCGAGTGCGTTTTCAAAATGTGAGTTGGTTCCTTTGACTTCAATCCCCACACATGTATCGTCCCATTCCTAGTAAGAGTCATCAAGGAGTAATATGAGCCATACACATTTGGCGTCACTGAAAGAATTTGAGTTATTGTTTCATTTATATTGTGCTGATAACGTAATAATGGAGTTATTTTTTTTTTTCTGAACAGGTCAGGTAAATTGTACACATGTACAACATTGTCATCGCTGTAGGTGCATAATACGTTGGATATTTGATCAATTATTATATCCTTGATTATACCGTAATGTGCTTGAAAGGAATTTATTAATAACCCTGAGAGGGCGGACCATACATATACATTTCCAAGTTTGTCTCCGCCAATAATTATTTTTTCATTTTTCGTTAGCCTGATCACATTCAACTGTACGCGCATATGCTTGGTCGAAATGGGGGCACTCTTTGCACACACATATTTGGACACCACTTTTTTATTTACGCTCAAGAGAAGGAAGCTTCCATTTCTGAGTTGGCATATTTTTTTCTCCGGGTCCTTCACAGGGGCCTCGAATTTATTTTCACATCGCTCGTTCTCCGCGTTCAGTAGCACGATGTCGTGGTTGTCGTACAGAGCGACGATCTTCACTTGCTCCATTGGGCCGATTATCGGTGGGGGTGGGGTGGCTTCCTCAAAACGCGCGCCTCTTTGCCTGGAGTTATATACCACCTAAGGTCGCGTTAAAACGTGGAGATGACGCGGCCACCAAAAAAAGTTGCTTCACCTTTTTTGTGCCACGCGCGAAGGAGGTTGTGGGGGAGGGGGGGCAAACCTTCCCTTCCATTAACCAAGTCCGTGGTACCAGCGGAAAGGGAAGAAAAGCGCATGACAAAAATGGGGGAGCATCATTAGGGTAAAATATACTTTTATGTATACATATTCGTATTCCTTCGCGTTATCAGCGTTTATGATGATCCTACCCATGCGTTGATCCCCTTTCTAATGTGACATTTATTTTCTTTCCAAGGGTATTTATATATATATATATCGTGACTGGGGTAGGTCTCGGAGTTTTATTTTTTATTTTATCCCCCGCGGTTTTGTTCTTCATCGAGAAATGTCCTTCTTGACGATCAATTCGGGAAACAGAACAAATGGCCACATAAAAAAAAAAAAAAAA